TTTCTTTCTTTCTTTCTTTCTTTCTTTCTTTCTTTCTTTCTTTCTTTTTTGCTTCTAGGGGTCCAGAAGACACGTGCTTTGAATATGGAGTTTTTCCTGCTATTCTGAGTTTTCCTCTTGATTATCCTTTAAGTCCTCCAAAGATGAGGTTCACATGTGAAATGTTCCACCCTAACAGTAAGTTTTGTCAGTAGAGATGCACTGTGTTTTCATATCAGTAAAAAAAAACCTGTTAAGTCTATGAAGTCTAGTATTATTCATTTAGCTTCTCCCGCCCCAAATTATGGCAATCTGAATCCTTTTTTAAATGAGAGATGGAATTTTTCAGTACCAGTTAAGGTGTAGATTTTAAATTATTAACTATTTTTAAGGATTTTGCTTAACACTTTTGCACACATTTAATTGATACATAATTCTTCACTTGTAGATTCGTTTTTTGTTATGAACTAGATTTTTAATTTTAGTGATTGCATCTATCCCACAGTTGATAATATTTTTCTCATTGATGAGCAACATACAGAGATATGAAACAAAGGTTATGTAACATCTGGCTGTACTTCAGGATACTTTTTTCAAACAGATGTAATTCCACAAGTGAACTAGGCTGAAGAAAAAAGTTTTAAAATAATAAATATATTACATATTTATCATATAGTGAGTTTGGCCTAGTTTTAGGGCGCTAGGCTAGAAACCAGGAAACTATGACTTCCCGTCCTGCCTTAGGAATGAAAACCAGCTGAGAGAGAGACTTAAGTATGGCAATTAACAGTCTGCAATTACACAATAGTATAAAAGTTAAATAATATTAAATTTGAAATCTGGAAAATGTATTTTTTCCCAGAATTCAGGAATTTCATTAGTAATATTTATTTACTGTTTGGTCTACCCTCAATATCACAATCAAACAAACAGTACCAAAGAAAAATACAGGATTGATGATTAGAGTTATTGGAAAGTTCGGTTGAACTATGTGTCTATATGGTCACTAGTAGTTAAACATGACTGAAGTAGGACTTTATTGTTAATATTCAAAATATAAATAAGAAAAATAAACATCTTGCATGTTGCATTCACTTCTAGTTACTATAGGCACCAAACACTTTGAATTGGAGTTTTACACATTGAGATTTAGTTTTATAATGTGAACTCTTAATTCTTAATTTTAGCAAACAGTGTGTTTCAAAATATATTTTGATTTAGAGAATACTATTTTGTGAATGTTATTAAAAACAAAGACAATAAACAATATAAACATTAGAAGAACATTAAACATTAAGGATTGTTCTATCTGATTTATAAATTCCCAGATGTAATTTATTTTAAGGAAAATCATTTGCAGAGTGAATTCAGTTGTAATGATTTTAGTCAGTTTTTTAGGAGCAGAATAGAAATATCATCACCTTCTTCCAGCATGTTTTTAACACTTCATTCTAGCCTACAGCCATGGTATTCCTCGGTATTCTCTGATTCAGATACCATATGCACCAGGCCTGACCCTGTTAATTTTCAAGCCCAGACTAGATCAGCAAATTGTTACTATTTACTGAAGCTAACTTATTTTAAATGCAGCCATAATTTTGCAAAGCCAGTTCTACACTTATTAACTTATAAAGACAGAGCTTCCCTCTTTTTTGTTGATATCTTGCTATTTTTTGATGAAACTGGTATTTGCCCCAGTACATGTCTTGCATTCTTCTTTACTTCTTTTATCTGTCAACTTTATTAATCCTATAAACAGCTATAAATGACTATAATACCATTCTCTGACAAAAATGAAAATATACAGGAAAGCTACAGTGATGTTTAACTCCAGCTTATAGACAACTAGATTAGAATTGAAAGAGTATATAATTGCTGTGAGACTTCTCAACAATGTGCTAGATGAGATAGTTTCCATCCTTGATGGTAAAACTCTTCTTTTGTTGTTGTTAATATAGTCTCAAAGTATAATTCTGTTAATAATTTTTATTCAATCATTGTTGCACTAACTTGAAAACATCTTCCAATTTAATTGGCTGATCTTTTCAGTTTATCCGGATGGGAGAGTTTGCATTTCCATTCTTCATGCCCCTGGAGATGATCCAATGGGCTATGAGAGCAGTGCCGAACGATGGAGTCCTGTGCAAAGTGTGGAGAAGATCCTCTTGTCAGTGGTTAGCATGTTAGCAGGTATGAGAAAGGATAGCATTCTAAGAGACAACAGTGAAGAAAATTTGAAAACACAAATCACTAGACTTTTCCAGAATGTTTTATCTCCCAAGTTGTTTAATCTAGAAATTTCTAGATGAATGGTTACACAGTTGGTCTCAGTAATGCTAGGCTTTTTGCTAAGCTGCTAGAAGGCCAGGCTTAAAGGGCCATTCTTGAAAAGTTAAGGAAAGAATTAAGAACCTTTTTATTTTAATTATTTGGTCCTGGCTTATTTTGCAAAGTGTCACAAAATTAATAGAAACATTTTATTTTATTATTTTCATAATGCTTTTCATTAATAATATATAGATTTAAATATTAAAAATACAATTGATTACAGTAAACATTGCAATACGTTGCAATATATCACATGACACAATCAAGTTTGACACCTGTGAAGTAGCCTGTTGTATAGTTTAATATCAAAGTTACCATTGCATGTTATGTTACTGTGGCAAAGATACTGTCTAGGACAGTTTATAGTTATCATATTAGGCAAAGTAATGAGTACCCCTGGCTACTAGGTCTTCCTTCCAGCAATACAGCTGATTCTGTGCAGACCCTTTCAGAACAGTTGGAATTCTGCAGTGACTACAATAGAACAGACTCTTGTTTTCAACTGGATGCAATTCCCACTTCTTTGTCTTTATCCACACTCTACCTCAGGAAGATCCTGTGTTCTTTTCCGCCCAAATCTTTTCCTGGTAGTATGGATTTTTTTCCCCCATTACACATACATTTCTCCATGGAACAGGACAAATATTTAAAATTCAAGATATTTCCATTCTCATACAATCAGCATCTACAGGAAGTTATTTAAGTACATAAAGTGCCTCTTTAAGTGGTTTGAAATAAATAGCAAGGCATTTTCAGCAAACTACAGGTGAAACTCAAAAAAGTTCATTTATTTCAGTAATGCAACTTAAAAGGTGAACCTAATATATGAGATAGACTCATTACATGCAAAGCAAGATAGTTCAAGCCATGATTTGTCATAATTGAGATGATTATGGTTTATGAAAACCCCAAATCCACAATGTCAGAAAATTAGAATATTGTGAAAAGGTTCAATATTCTAGGTTCAAAGTGTCCCACTCTAATCAGCTAATTAAGCCATAACACCTGCAAAGGGTTCCTGAGCCTTTAAATGGTCTTTCAGTCTGGTTCAGTAGGAATCTCAATCATGAGAAAGACTGCTGATCTGACAGTTGTGCAGAAAACCATCATTGACACCCACCATAAGGAGGGAAAGCCTCAAAAGGTAATTGCAAATGAAGTTGGATGTTCCCAAAGTGCTGTATCAAAGCACATTAGTAGAAAGTTATGTGGAAGGGAAAAGTGTAGAAGAAAAAGGTGCACAAGCAGCACGGATGACTACAGCCTGGAGAGGATTGTCAGATAAAGGCCATTCAAAAGTGTTGAGGACTTTCATAAGGAGTGGACTGAGGCTGGAGTCAGTGCATCAAGAGCCACCACATGAGCTTCCAATGTCATATTCCTCTTGTCATGCCACTCCTGAACAACAAACGTCAGAAGCGTCTTGCCTGGGCTAAAGAAAAAAAAGACCTGGTCTGTTGCTCAGTGGTCCAAAGTCCTCTTTTCTCATGAGAGCAATGTTTGCATCTCATTTGGAAACCAAGGACCCAGATTCTGGAGGAAGAATGGAGAGGCACACACTGCAAGATGCTTGAAGTCCAGTGTGAAGTTTCCATAGTCTGTGTTGATTTGGGGAGCCATGTCATCTGCTGGTGTTGGTCCATTGTGCTTCATTAAGTCCAGGGTCAACGCAGCCGTCTACCAGGAGTTTTTGGAGCACTTCATGCTTCCTTCCGTAAGACGAGCTTTATGGGGATGCTGACTTCATTTTCCAACAGGACTTGGCACCTGCCCACGCTGCCAAAAGCACCAAAACCTGGTTCAATGACTGTGGGATTACTGTGCTTGATTGGCCAGCAAACTTGCCTGACCTGAACACCATAGAGAATCTATGGGGCATTGCCAAGAGAAAGATGAGAGACATGAAACTGAAGACTGCAGAAACTGCTGAAACTGCAGAAGAGCTGAAGGCCGCTATTGAAGCATCCTGGTCTTCCATAACACCTCAGCAGTGCCACAGGCTGATAGCTTCCATGCCACGCCGCATTGAGGCAGTAATTGCTGCAAAAGGGACCCAAACCAAGTATTGAGTACATATGCATGCTTATACTTTTCAGAGGTCCGATATTATTCTATGTACAATCCTTGTTTTATTGATTGCATGTAATATTCTAATTTTCTGAGATTGTGGATTTGGGGTTTTTATGAGCTGTAAGCCATAATCACCTTAATGACAAATCACAGCTTGAACTATCTTGCTTTGCATGTAATAAGTCTATCTCATATATTAGTTTCACCTTTTACTTTGCATTACTGAAATAAATGAACTTTTGCACGACATTCTAATTTTTCGAGTTTCACCTGTACTGTCTGAAGTTTCCTTTTTCTTCTTACATGTGGATGTAGGAAGACAGGTGTAAACAGATTACATCAAATATCAAGACCACTTTTACTGGTAATTCCAAGTCATAGTATGGCATGGGGTCTGAATCAAAACTTAAAAGAACGTCATGTAGTTACTAAGAAAGAACATTCTGATAGCTTGTATTTGTTGTAAACGATTGGAGTTATTGTACTCCATTCTTTTGGAACAATGCATGAAATGAAATAAATTTTGGAATTCTTGATCTTGTGTATATTTTACTTCAGTGTGTGTGGTTCTTTTAATGAGAAACACTGTAAGCAGATGTTATTACTGTATCTTCTCCTGTTGATCAGCTTTTATTTTCCCTCACTCTAGAACCAAATGATGAAAGTGGAGCCAATGTGGATGCTTCTAAAATGTGGCGAGAAGACAGAGAACAGTTCAACAAAATAGCCAAACAAATTGTCCAGAAATCACTTGGTCTTTAAAAAAAAACCAAACAAAACATCTGAAACTCTTGACAATCTTCTTGTTGAACATTTTATAGACAGAGGCTGATAGTAGAACTCTGAATTGGTACCAAAAAACAAATCTTGCAAAGCTGTTCATGAATTTTTGCTCCTCCCTGTATATAAGCATGCATCAATCTTTTTACAGTTTGAAAGAAAAATCTCAATTTAAGACATACCAATAGATGGGATGCAAGTACAGTGGAGCTGTAATCAGTTTCTATTAGTAAAAACTTCTTAAGTCTCTGCAGTTGTATCTGTAATATCATATTGCCTTTCATCACAGTACTATTCATCTGTGTGGCTAATAGGCTTGAGATGATCTGTGAATATCTTATTATTTAGAAAAGTATTGAAATATTGTTAGTGGAAGCTATTTGTCGCCAATGAGAATTATCCTTTTAAGGATTCTTATTTATATAATCTCATTTAATTTTAAAAAAGGAATGTTGACCATCAAAATGTTACACAATAAGCTGGACTATCTTTGTCCTGAGGAAGAAGTGGTCAGTATAATCTTAGTTTCTATTATAGCACTCTGCTTGTCTAAATTAAAAACATTTTATGTGATTGGACATGAAGATATTCAAAAGGAATATAGTTCCTTCTGAAACAGAAATTGAACTTGATATAACTCCTATAAGCTCAGGGTTAGTTGGACAGTCATTCATAAAATAATATTTGATTTCTCTGATTGGAAACCCCACCCATGATATTTATAAGAAATAATAAAGTAATGTATGGCAGAAGAGCATTCTTCTTCCAAGCTAATCTCTAATATAAATACTTAATTTTTAAACCTAATATTGTCTACTCAGCAATTCTAATGGAATTAGGATGACCATGATTTAGTATGAACTTTGCTGAAGGAATATTTGACTTCTAATATCATTCTTGTAATTTCCCGAGGGTAAAATTAAAGGGAATACACACACATTCACAATTCCTCTATTCATTAATTTAGTTGGGCAGCACTAAGGAACAAGTTTTTAAAGGATATTTCATATGCATTGCAGAAATCCATCACATTAAGAAGATGCCAATTGCCCTATATCTCTTATTTTATTATGTAGTTCACATATATTAGGTAAGGAATATCTTTAACAACTAAATTAGCCTTAAACTATATTTAAATGTTTCAGTTCAATCAAATCATCATTTAAATCAATGTTTTATAGATTTGCAATCTGTGAAGGATTGATTCAATAAAATATCTTTTTGGAATTTATTTCATGTAATTTTTATAAGGTAGTCCTTGACTTATAACAATTTGTTTAGTGATCATTCAAAGTTACAACAGTGCTGAAAAAAATGATTTATGTCCATTTTTCAGACTGGCAACCATTCCATTGATACAATTTATTAATGATTTAATAATTAATATTATTTAATTTAAAACATTCATTTAAACACCCATCTTATGACAAATTCTGGCAGCTCCCAATCAAAAACTAAAACAACATAAAAATGTTCATTCAGGGCTTCCTACAGGATGTTGCTTGCTCTTCAGTATGAATTTCCTTAATAAACACGTAGGAGAAGATGGATAGCCATACAAGTTCCCGTTATATCTACTGCTGTACTATGAAACTCTGTCATCTTGGAATGAGGACACTTTAATAAATTCTTTCATAATGAAGGCAAACTAATTGGTACATTCACAAGCAAGTTCAGAGAGCACCAAGGACCCCACATTCAGTTTAGGTCAGGGGTGCCTAACTCATGTCGTCATATTGTGACTTTTTTCCGTTTTGCTAAAGGTGGGGTGGGTATGGCCAGTGTGTGTCTCATCTGGCCTGCGTGCTGCGAATTTGGCATCCCTGCTTTAGGTTATACTTGGTTAAATGTGGTTATGATGATGCAATATCCCTGCTATCGGAAAGGCATGATTTGATAGATTATTTAAAAGGAGGAAAACTCATTATCTGGTATAATTTCCCTGCCTCTGAGTACTAAAGTTAGTAATTATCTAATCAATTTTGAAATAAATTTAAAGAATGACATCATGATGTGTCTTGCTGTTCTTTCCTTACCCTTAAGGCTTTGGTCAAAAATGTGTGATGGTACATTCTGCATTGCAAAAAAAACGCCAACAACCCCAAAACCCCCATTGTACTTGTTCCCTGATTTTTTTAAAAAATATATCATTAAAACTTGTTTCTTGAGAAAAATGGATGTACTATTACTATAATAGGCACATGAATAATTTTTAATCTACATTTACCACCTCTCTGTTCAGAATGTTTGCCTAGGGTTTATAGTTTAATAATTGAAAAGGATATAAAGAATTCTTCTGCCCAGCAAAGGAAGCAGTGTTAGGACACAAGAACAGGCAAAATAATTAGACCTACATTCATCATATCGGTTTCTCTACTTTGAAAGGAATAACTGCTGTATTAAAGGTGTTGGAACTACATAAAACAGTTGAGGCTTCAGGGCAGGGCTACTCCCTGTCTTGTTATATTTGGCCTGGCTTTCAAAAGTCACAATTATCTGCATGATGAGAAACATGTGTTGGTATGTTAGCTTTGAAGTTACTACATGCACTGAAATTGACACCTATCTGTTCTTTTGTTGAGATGTTCCCTTCATGTATACAAAAATGGAAAAATATAAGCCCAAGAGTTATAAGTTTTATAAAAGTAATGGCTTGTGCTCTTTAGTTAATAGTATACACTGAATTGAAAAGAACTAGTGGTAGCTAATAGGTTTATCTACTGGCCTTAATTGTACATTTTTTTTACTAGATGAAAACATTCCAATTCATGTCAACACCTGAAGAACAGCAACTACAAGTAAACTTCAGTGACTTGGGGCAAATGAATTGTAGAGTATGGGTTACAGAGGCTTGTTTATTAAATAAATAGCCTGACAAAAAATGTCTTAAAGTTTAAAAATCCCTCCTTAAGTTACAAAGAATTCCTGGTATCGGAAAAAAATTGCTTGTTTTAAATTGCAACATAAACATTTTATGTAATTTAATAAAAGGGTTTTTCCCCGATAAGAACAGTCTTTTTAAAATGATCTTTATCACGGAAAGGCAAACTTTTTAATTCACTGGTTAGTAGAATTAAAAGCCCACAAAATAATCAAAGAACATATAATGGACTCTTGCACAGATTTTCCTGAACAAAGACCATGTTTTAAAATAATCTTTCTCTAATTACTACTTAACATTCCTAGCTTAATGAGAGAGTGAATCCGACTTAAAGCTTCAAGGAAATCTTCTTCATCTTACCTTTTCCTGGTGTTGGATTCCAGGGCATTGTGCTCATGCAAGCTTGTCTCAATGTTTACTTGGTTAGCTCTGAAGAATAGTGCTGGGTATTAGAAGTGATAACTAAAAGAGATTTTACAAGCAGATACTATAGATCTCATTTAAAATAGCCAGTCCTTGTACTGGTTGACTTTTCTTTTTCAAGTCTCTAAATCTATTTGTAGATATCTCTGAAATGGCCCTATAAGAGATGTGGCAATTATCTGAGTAGGAAAGATTGTATTTAGTTGTTCATAGAAGCATATAAATATTAAGGTATTATAGCAAGAAATCTAGCCTGGTATCTTCTACATTCCCCAGCCATCCTGACTAGTAGATTTATTTAACCATTAACCAATATATCTTTTTTCATATATATGAAAGAACACTATTTGATATTACATCAATATCCTCTGCCTAGTGAAAAAAAATAGTAATATCAAATAGTTTGCACATTTAGATACCATAGAATATGATTAGTATTTTATTGGAACTGGGAATAATCTATGATAATGATTTATTTCAATTCTTAAGGGTGTTTTTTGCTGGTATTTTATGCTGCATAAGGAAGGTAATGGGTGTGCTTAGCCTACAGTCTCTAAGTGAAATTTCACAAATTGATGTTTTAGCTACTTCAGACACATGGTGGTGCTTACAGCTTGAATAAATGAAACATTGTTCCTTAAAGTGGGGAAGAGAGGAAAATAACCAGCTGCTCCAGTTAACTTGGAAGATGCCATACTCTAGGAGCTGAGCTGGGCCCAGTTCTTGTGGGATTATTTTTTGGCTCCTGGTTGACCTTGATTCATCATCCCAAATCATTTACAATATATGCAACTGCATGAAATGGTGACTAATGAATTGGAACTCTTTACAGATTAATTAATCTATGAAAAATCTATAGCAGATTTCTTTGTGGCAGAGGCAGCGTGAAAAAAAAGAGGTTAAAAGTTCTGGATTTGTAGTTAAATGATTTTATAACTTACATCTAATTGACACAAGCATGTTTTAGCAATTCTCTTTTTTTCTCCTGTTTAATTACTTGTATAGGCCACCTATCTCCATTGTAACACTGAATTTAAAACAGTACAGTCCAAACAATACAAAAAGAAATGTCCAGGAAATATAGCAACACAATTTCCAAATCAAACAATCCACAGGGGTTCACCATCTACTGGAACCCCAAGCCTTGAGAAAGAGCTAGTTTTCAGGGATTAATTTATATAACTTCACTGAAAACTGTAAACTGTAAACTTCTCTGGAGGGCATGTTATTGCAAAAGGCCTGGAGAAGACAAATAATGGGACTCCAAAGGGGGGGTGGTATTCAGCAGATTCTGACCAGTTCTGGAGAACCGGTAATGGAAATTTTGACTAGTTCAGAGAACTGGCAAATACCATGTCTGACTGGCCTCACCCTCATCTATTCTCTGCTTCCCGAGTCCCAGCTGATTGGCTGGGTCGTCTTTTGTTGACCTGCTCAGGAGAACGGAACTAGAAAGCAGGTTAGTGGGGTATGGAGGGAATGGAGATTTTACAGTAACCTTCCCCTGAGAATGGGGAGGGAATGGAGATTTTACAGTATCCTTCCCCTGCCACGCCCACCAAGCCACGCCCACAGTAGAATTTTTTGAATCCTATCACTGTTCCAAACATGCCAACTCTCCTGGGTTTGTACACTGGGTTCAGTTATTTTATTTATTAAGTTTATATGGTTGCCCAATTCACAATGTCTTTCAAGCCAGGAAATAATTTTAAAATGGTAAGGAGAACCTTGAATTGCACTAAGAAGGTTATTTGCAACCAATGCAATTCACAAAAGAGTAATGTTATGTGGGCATATTTTGGCATGCTCACAACTGCCTCTTGGTTATGGACTCCAAATTAGATCTGAAACTTCTTCAAAAGTCTTGGAAATGATTTGACTGGTCCAATTTATAAATGGTAGCCATGTGCTGCCTAATAATTTCTTTACTTGTCTTGAATTGCCATCTTCTGCTTTTGTCAAAAGATTTGGTTAAGTTGTTTGAATACTTTTGTAGAAAAAAATGCAAATCCTACTACCATCTTCTAGCATTTTCCCACAGGTGCAGGCTTTGCTTTTTAAACACAAACAGCATTTCATCTAATCAAATACAGCAACCCGGCCCAACTGTATCATGTCTGTATCAGTTGTGTCCTACTACCTTTGCTTTAAGGGGGTGCAATGGTTCAGCTGTTAAAAACACTGAGTTTGTCAGTTGGAAAGGTGACAGCCTGGGTTCAAGACCCAAGTGACACCCAATGACAGAGTGAGCTCCCATTACTTGCCCCAGCTCCTGCCCATCTAGCAGTTCAAAAGCATGCAAATGCAAGTAATTGTAATAGTAATAGTAATAGTAATTCTATTCTATTCTATTCTATTCTATTCTATTCTATTCTATTCTATTCTATTCTATT